CCCTGTGGGCCCCCGCCACCAGGGACCTGACTCCCGCCTGTCGCCTGTGCCTCGGCCCTTGCTGGCCTGTGACGCGCTCTGCCGTCTCCCCGGCAGAGACCCACCCCCGCCCCCCTAAGCCCGACCCTGTGAAGAGTGTGTCCAGCGTGCTCAGCAGCCTGACGCCCGCCAAGTCGGCCCCCGTCATCAACAGCGGCTCCCCGCCCATCCTGGGCAAGAGGAGCTACGAGCAGCACAACGGGTTGGACGGTGAGTGCGCCCCGCCCCGCGGCCGCGGCCCGCCCGGCGCCCCGGTGACCGTGTTCTCTCTCCCCCTGCCTCGGGCTCTGCCAGGCAACATGAAGAAGCGCCTCCTGATGCCCAGCAGGGGTAAGGCCGGGCCGGCCGCCCTGTCGCGCCCCGTGTGCTGTGCTGCCGTGTGTGTGTCGTGGCGGCGGCCGCTCGGGCAGTCCACAGGGCCCGGGCCACGCCCAGTCCCCACACCCCTCTGGTCTCACGTGTCCCTTGGTGAGCAGCCCGCGAGCCGTGTTGGCTCAGCCTCCGGCTGGTGCCTGGCAGTGGACTGCCCTCGCCCGCCCGCCCGCTGCCTGCCTCCGCGCTGTGATGCCCGCATGCCGTCAGCCCCAGCCCGGGGCGCCCTGCTGTGCCTGCAACCCTCCATGTGCCCTGCGCTGGGGCGGAAGTCAGTGTGGGAGCGCTGAGGTCGGGTGGACGCCCAGGCCTGGGCTTTGTTCGGTGTGTGGGGAGCTGGACCGGCCGGTGGGGTAGCCCACAAGGGTGCCCGCCATCCCTCTCCTGGCTGTCAGAGCTCTGGGGCTGCTGACCCCAGGCACGGGGATGCAGGAGAGGTGGTGGGCAGTGTCCCCTTGGGCTGCCCACTCAGGGCTGCCTTCAGAAGGCCTGCAGCCCACCAGGCTCCCTGGCAGCGTGTCTGTGGTGGCGGGTGAGCTGAAACCTGGGGCCGGGCTCTTCCGTCTCGGTCCCTGCTCCTGGAGACCGCACAGCTGCCGGCCATGGGGCTGGGTGCCCCCTTACTCCTGCCAGGCTGGCTTTTCCCGTCTGAGCCCGTGGCTGAGCCCCCTGGGACCTCACAGACACGGGAGTGAGCCTGCGGGCGGGCACCTTGTGCTTTCAGGTCTTCCTTTCTTTTTCTGTTCTTTGCTATAGAGTGTGTGTGCTCACCAGAGACAGAGAGAAAGAGAAACTGAGAAGTCACCCCGCAGGGGACAGGCCACGCTGCCACCCCCTCCACCCTCCTCTCGGGATTTTGGGCACGTGCCCACGTGCCATCGGGTTGTTTTCTAAAAAGCCACTCACAAACGAGTCCATGGAGACCCCATCTATTCCCAGCGGCTTCTCCAAGTCCACATGCCTGAGCCCAGCCGCACGGTCCAGGGAGGTGTCCGGTGGCGGGGGGCCCTGCTGGGGGCCATGGGGCCGATAGCTACAGCTGGCCCCTGGTGGGACACGGTGGCCCAGGCTTAGGGGGCCAGCCCAGGGGGTGGCCGGCCCCAGGTGCAGGGCGGCGTCGGGAGGGCGAGGGCCTTCACTCCTAAGCGGCCTGCCTGAGCACCTCCCGACCCGTGGGCCCTGCTCTAACCCTAAGCCTGTGTCTCCTTCCCTCCGCCCGCCCTCCTCTCTGGTAGGCACTTACCTGGGTAAGTAGTCCTGGGCCGTGGCTGGCCGTGGGCGCTGGGGGCGTTGAGGTGTGGCCATCTCTGTGCGGGGGGCTGTGGACCAGACGCCTGGGTCCAGGGTGTGCTCCAGGTTGGGAGACGTTCTGCAGTGGGGGCGGGGCAGGCAGGACACCACCAGGGCCCAGCAGGGCTGGCCAGGAGTGCGCCCAGTGAGAGGTGTCCGCTGGGGCTGCGCCATCCCAGGAGGGGCAGCCCCTTCACCCTCGCGCTCACCCACCCATGTGCGCATGCTTGTGCCCACAGGCAGTGCCCCCACCCTGGGCACGTGGGCTCAGCGGGGGCTCCTGGTTGGGAGGAGTGCACAGGAGGCTGCGGCCCAGGTGGCTCCCAGCTCAGCCTGGCTTGTGGGGTCTGAGCAGTGCCCCGCCGAGGAGCAGCGCCCACAGAGGGGCCAGTGCTGCCACGGCCCTGCACGCCAGGCCTCGTCAGTCCCAGCCCGTCGGGCACGTGGCCAGTCCCTGCAGTCCTGCCACCTGCCCGCAGCTGAGCCAGGGCTGCCTGGCTAGCAGGCCCCTCTTAGTGGTGGACTGAGGCTTGGGGTGAAGGGGTCCCAGGAGAGCCCACCCGCAGGTCGGGGTGCATGATATGTCCTCGCCGGGCCTCACGCCTGTTCTCCTTTCTCACCAGGGCTGGCAAACCACGGGCAGACCAGGCACATGGTAAGAGGCAGCCCTGCAGGTGCCACATGGATGTCGGGAGCCAGGGCAGAGGTGCAGCATGGCAGCAGGCCTTCAGGGGCCCCTCTGCTGCTCTGGTCTGGAGCGGGGACCCGATCACCTCGCGGGTTGGGCATGGCCGCCCACCAAGAGCCCTTACAGCCCAAGGAGGCGTTTGCTCTTGGGCCCCGCTGCCTGGGGAAGCCGTGCCTGGGGTGCAGTTAAGATGCAGACATTCCTGGGGGCTGCCTCCGGCCTCCCGGCCCCTCTCACCTCCCCTCCTCGCCCAGGGACCAAGCCGGAACCTCCTGCTCAACGGGAAGTCGTACCCCACCAAAGTGCGCCTGATCCGGGGCGGCTCCCTGCCCCCCGTCAAGCGGCGGCGGATGAACTGGATCGACGCGCCAGACGACGTGTTCTACATGGCCACTGAGGAGACCAGGTGGGCCTTCCAGGGGCGGGGGGGGCGGGCACGGGTGGCAGCGCGGGCC